AGAATCTGTAGGAAAAGTCCGTTCGGCTGTCGTTAAGAACAAAAATTAGGCAATACACAAAAACAGTTATTGCCAGTTATCACATATGTACTCACCGTACTTTTTTAGAACAATATGTGCTTATACAAAGACTAAACGGTGAAAAATTAAAAGCCGCTTTACCAAGGATTGCAAACTATTAAGAAATTACCACTGCAACAGGATAGCTGCACTAAGGCTGAAGTCTTGATCTCCCTCAATAGAAAATTACATTAAAAATCAAGTGAGAAGATCTGGTTTAAAATCCGTATGAAAACGTTTTCCGAAAAGAGAGGTATACGAAGATCCAAATGACTAAACTGAGTAGGGCAGACAAGTGTGTTTACCGATTTTAAAGTTAAAAGTGTGACAAGCGGCAATTCAGTAAAACATTTCCTAATAACAATTTTTTTGTCGCTTGGAATGTTCAACCAAAAATTTCCACTCTCGCTTTTTTTCTCATTCCCAGCCCTGCTCCCCGTCCTAAACCCCACCAAACATTTTATTTTGTTTAGGCTCTTAATCGTCAGGAAAACCACCTAATTCCTTTCACTGTAATATAAAGAAGTTATTCAGTTAGTCACCCAGTCAGTCAGTAAATACTCAATATTTGCATTTCTTATCCGTTTCATAGATTTCTTTGTAAATTAAGGTGTTGGCCAAGCCTCTCAACATCCCTACTTTTCATATAAAAACAAAACCGATTAAAAAAAATAATGTCACTTCAGTAATTAAAAAAAATAACGAAGTTCATTTTTAAAAGAAACTTAAGATTTTCCTATGTATTTTAGAGACTCCCAAAAAAAGATGACAATTAAAATATTCAAGTCTTTGAATACAAATAAAATGTTTCGAATCCAACAGTTTTGTCAAACAAACAAAAAGTTCCTCCTTGATAGCTCTCAAATAACCAAATTAAAGCATAAACGACACTGCTATTAGAAAGAGATAAATAAAATTAAAATGTTCATAGATGTATGTAATTACAATTTGATTACACTGCTTACATGTAAAGATCTTTTCAATCTAAAATGAATAAAAATAAGTAAAGAAGTGGTTAAAAACCAGCTTCTTCTCTTTCTTCTTTACCTACAGTATTTTCGGCTCAAAAATATAATCTTATATCACCTTTCCTACATCGTAAATTGGTTAACCAAGTATACCTGAAAAAGCTCGAAAAATTTACTTTTTTCATACAGCATAAAACAGAAAATAAGAATAAACAAAAAGATTTTTTTTGTTCCAAAAACCTCGTCGTGAAGTTGTGTTATTTAAAGTAACAAAGATTCTATGCTCAAATTTTTCTCTAAAATTTTCTGCCTGAAAAAAAAAATAAAATATTTCTGTTAGGCATACTGTTATGAACTAAAAATTTTAAGAAAAAAAATAGTTTTTTGCTATCATTAAAAACTGGTCGAAGATGAAGAAAACAAGACTTCTTCCGAAGTTAAAAAAGCGTTAATGAGTCTTGAAATTAGACCAGAGACAGATCTCAGTTCTTTAGCGATCGGCGAACCTCTTGTTGTTCGGTCGCTGTCCTTCACGTTCAAACGTCTCATCCCCTAACTCCCCTTTCGGTCCCCTTCACTAACCCGTCAGTTCTTCTCCCTCCCTACTCCTCTTCTTAGTCCTTCATTCTTCAATTTTCAACACATCTCAACAACAACTGCTTAGACCATAAACTTTAGGCATCGAAGACAAAGCGTTCAACAAATAAACAATTTTCAAATCAACGACGACGAAGAAAATAAAGAAGAAGAAAAAGAAGAAGTAGAAGATAGAATACAGCAAAATTACCTGAGAAGTAGCAAGTAGACATAAATAACATTTTTTTCATTTTCTTTACCATTCTGGGAAAAAATAGAAGTAAAAAGCAAAAAACAGAAGTAATATTTAAGTCTTTATATACCTATAATTATTTTATTAGTCTGTTTCTCTTGTCCTCAATTTTTACCCTTCTTTGAATCAACCAGAATACCACTGAGAAAAAAATTGAAAGGTAAAATCCAACAACTAAAAGCAAATAAAAAGAGGAAGAAAACAACGACGAAGACGACGGCGACAAAGAAGAAGAAAAATAAAAGAAAAACAACAGTTAGCATAGAATGTTTGTTGTTCAAAAAATTGTTAGTTTGATACATAGTTGTTCCTTTTTTGGACAAATTATATGCGTGTAAGACGAAAGTTGAGAAAAAAAACAAATTTAAAATTCAAATTCATGATATTTTTCTTTCCACTGCTTTTTGCTGCCTTTTTTCTTCTTCTGCTCTTCTTTCCCTCCTCTCTTTCCAATAAGAAGACGTTGTTTTTTCCCATTTCTATTGTTTTTTTAACTATTTGAACATGAGAATATAAAGATTTAACTTGACAGCTGGCTTTGCAGTCCTTAGCAAACAAACGGCAATAACGGCACAGGCTAGTTTGATCACAAGACCACTAATAAGTGAGATTATTGAATAGTCGATGAAATCATCCAAATGAAGACTGTTGTCCTATTAAAGTTTTATAGATAAGCTTAGTCTTTTTATGTTCAGTAATTGTTAACAACATCGCAAAACTGAGACATCTGGAAATTAGAAAATATTTTTACATAAAGAAGGTACAGAAGTATAGATGCATTTATAATCTTGCCTTAAACCTGGCTAATATTCTCGCAAAAAGAAAAATTAAATCAAAAAAGAGCTTCCAAAAAATTTAAGATTAAAATGTGTTAACAAAGAATTAGAATGAAATATGAAGACAGTAAGAACTAACCACTACGGTTCAGCAAATCAACCGATACTGTACTGTATTAATATTTATTTTATCAATTTCATTAACAGCTTTGACTTTTTTATTAGTTGGCCATAGAAGAACGATAACAATTACACAGTGTTTAAGAACTATAGATGAATTCACCAAGCAAAACAGTTCGCTATTTTCTTTTCTTCTTCGTCCATTCAGTTCTCTACATCTCCATTTTCCCGTTTTCGCCCTCCCGCCTACCCCTCTACTCCATTAAAATTTTTTATTTTTATCAAGAGCGTTTAATACATTGATGTAGTGATAAGAAAAAAGCTGTTTGCATAAGCCAAAAAAATTTGTTGACAGTAGTCGGTTACCTATAATATACAAGCAAATTCTTTACACACCTACCGCTTTTCAAGAAGCGTCACTGCAACACTTTATATCAACTATAATATATTTTATCATCGTGTAAATAGAGCATCAAATGATGATAGAGCAAAGAAAAAAAAAGAAGACAGAGAAAAGCAAGCATTGCTTGACTGGAGCTGAACACTTCAGACGCATCAGCCAGTATTGATGCACAAATAAAGACATATTCATCCGTACCATACAATATGGAACGGTTATTAATTTACAAATTTTTGTAATAGTCCAAAAATTAGTCGACAACAGCAGCAACAAAAAAAAAAAAAAACCGATTTTTAATTATTAGTTTTATTTTCTAATACCTTCCAATATATTTTAGACACGTAAAAAAACTGTTTAGGTATTTCTTTTT